GCGGAATTAATATTATGATTATTATTAGTATCAGTATTGTTAGCTATTAATGGTAGATTTTTTCCTTTTTTATATATATATATATATTTTTTTTTTTTGAGCGAATTGAAATATCTTTTTTTTTTTTAAATTGGTGATTGACTAATTTCAATAGTGAAACAAGTAAGGACAATACCGATTTCTTTTTTATTTTGTAGTTCTGGACCACCCAATACCCGTCTCCACCTGAAATCCACCCCTCTCTCCACAACCTAGCACACTGAGCGAACCCAGGACCGTTACCTTTCCCCAGAAATCTAGTTTTCTCCCTTTTTGTGTAAATTTTTGAGGTTTTGGAATCAATTAGAATTGGTTTTGTAGAATCATGAAATCGGCACCCTACAATCTGGATTAAGGGTCACAATCACCGTTTTACCGGAATAAAATGCGACGTACGGGGCTGAAGACCCCGTAGTCGAATAACGAAAAGCCGACATGAATTCGGAAAAATACATAAACCGAACTAAAAACTCACTTTGGGTTTCTTACCCCTCTTTGGGGTGTTCTTCGCCATCGTATAGATCCACTTATCCAAATATGTGCACACTACTTCCTAATATAGGCACTGTACTGGCACTAGTTCTGGTGGGGTCAAGGGCCAACGCCGAACTGCCGAACTCATGAGCGTCTCGGGACACCTCAGCGCACGGAATTCACCGCTCAATCACCCGAATTTTGATTGGTGCGGACACGCCCCTCGAAGGTGCGAATCTAACGACAAGTAATCGCGACTGTCACGCCCTGGCGCGATTATTCAAATCGTTCGGATAATTACGAAGGGTCTTTGGAGCTTCCCACGGATCGGATCTCCGGGATTTTCGGGGTTAAAAGACAAGTTACCGGCACTTGTTATNGAACCGGATGACTCTATAATGTTGGCCCTTCTTCACGATAATTTTTCTGGGCCCTCAAAGACGCGTAATTACTAGTCCTTACTAATAAACGGAACCGATAACTTTAACCGAAAATAAGCCACTCGGAAGTGGATAAGGGGCTCTCACTCTCTCGCTCTTGAATTCTTACTCACGGATTTTAATTCAACGTTGTAGGAGTCTCGCTGTTTACAGATCGTTCTTAGTGTTCCTAACGAACATCCCCACATGTTCGTTACATGGTTTACCCATTCATAACAGAAGTGCATCAGTCGAGAAATTGTCAAAATTTATTACATGACCTACACATGATGAACATGATGAACATACTCATGTTCCTATAGATTTCCGCTAGGTCTTATTTCCATGAATCCAATTGTTTCATCGATGTTGTCTTCATCTACTCATCTCTTCTCTTATGTAGTAATAATTAAAATTGCAATTAGGAGAATAGTTAGCGGTTGAAGAGGGCTATTCGTATAATAACTAGCCAAAAAAATTTAGAGAAGTAATGAAAATACAAATGAAGATTGATGATAGGAGATATATCAATAATTTATTATTGACGGCTGCACTCCAGTGAAATATTACAATATCAAAATTTACACATCAATGCAAACAATTTTTAGTCAATCATAGGTATAATTCACTATTTATTCCCAAATCCCACACTTGTTGGATGGATTCATGTGCGAATTTTCTAGACAGTTGAAAGCTGAGGCAAAATCTTTGTTATTCGATACTGCACCATTGATTCTTTGTTTGGCTGGACTGTGGACATCTGTGTTACCGTATTGTTTCAAATATGCGGCGGTCTCAGATGCACATCCTGTCTGAAAATTGAAAAAATTTAATATCTCAGCATCTTAAATGTAATTTTTATAATACTGACATTCCTAATGTTAAGAAGAATAGTTGATCATCAGTGAATCGCTCCAAGCCGGGAAATTTATCAGAACTGGTTCCAATTTTTTTCACGGAATATCTTGTACGCATCAAAAGCGATTTTTAAACCCGTGGAGTCTGATATATTTTCTCCCAAAGTCAAAGTCCCATTGAGCTTTAAAAATATCATACAACAATTGAGTAGAGGATTAATTGAAGTGTAGAATGAAGTATAAAAATCATGAATGAAGTAAAAATGACTAAACAACACTACGCAATGGGGAAATTTGATGAAAATTGTTTACCATCGGATATGAAAATAGAACGAAAAATATTGGATACGTATTTTTTTATTTGGAAAAATAATGAAAAATAAACAAGCTATAGGCGATTGAAAAAGTCCAGAATTGTGACGTCACCCATATACAAACTATTGTGACGTCACAATTTCGACGTTTCTTTAGTTAGCTATAACTTCTTGATTTTTCATTTTTTTCCAAAATAAAAAATACGTATCTAATATTTTTCATCCAAAATTTAGATTTGTGGGAAAAAATGTGGGATACTCGGGAATGTTGGACGGGTTGATGAAATTATAACACCCGTTATAACAGTAGAAATCGAATGGAATTTATTCACAGCGAATGTGTCGATGTTTACACCTTGAGAGCTATGACGAATCTGTCCCTCGCGACGATATAGGCAATTAGATCATCCGATCGAGGGTGCCCGAAATATGACGAATCGTCACGAGGTGACGTAGTCAGATATTCGGCTGCTAAGCCGGTGCGAATACACTATAGTGAGATAATTCGAACGATAAATAAGTAGCTTCGCTACAATACTCCCCTTCTGTGTCGGAAAAAAAGAGGGAGTTAGCTATCTACAATATATACAATATAGGCAATGTATACGCGTTAAAATGGCACTAAAAACGGTATACGTGATTTGAAAAAAAAAAATTGAATATTGAGTGAGTTTATTGACTGAACCTGACGCGTTTTCGTACTGGTCGAGGAGTTGAGTCCAAAGATGATCTTGCGTCACTCGATGGAGTCCAAGATGATGATCTGGGTCTAGATG